ATGTTTATAGTGACAGTTACATAAACTTCTGGTTTTATTTTCAGTATTTACTCTTGCATCTTTTAATCTATTAAATCACCATCAATTGGCATTAAAAGTTACTCAGCAGGGGCTGGAGAGACGGCTCAGCTGTTAAGAGCACCGGCTGCTCTTGCAGAGGACCCAGGTTTGGTTCCCAGCACCCACATGGCAGCTAACAACCATCCTTAACTCCAGTTCCAGGGGCTCTGACACCCTCTTCTGACCTCTGTAGGCATTGCATGACACGAGTGCACTTACATAATGCAGGCAATACATTCGTACATATTAAATAAAATAAAAATAAAAATAATAAAAAAATATTACTAAGCAAAAATAAAATCTTAATATGGGTTCATTTATCAACAGCATTAACTATCAGAAATTTTGGTGTTTGCAGAATAAGAAATTTATCTTTATATACTTATGCCAATTACATTAGATAGAAGATTGGATATTTATTTGATTTTTGTGGTAAATTACATTCAATATAAGTGTACCATTTTAACCATTTTAGGTGTATAGTTCAACAACTGTAAGTACTTTGTGCCATCTTTTGATATAGTTAGATTGTTCCATTATTGAGCACTCTAAGCTATCTTGCTGTTGTAATCCTGAGATGGTGAGTAGGTTGTACACAGAATAGATGGGTCCTTTTGTCATTGCTGGACCAAGTGAGAAAATGGGTTAGGGGCTGGGGAGACGACTCAGTGGATAAAGTGCTTGCTGTGTAAACACGAGGACCAGAGTTTTAGATCTCCAGAACTGATGTAAGAGTCAGGCAGGCTTGGTGGCCTGCCTGTAGTCCTAGCATTTGTGAGGCAGACACAGGGTCCCCGAGACAGGCTGGCCAGTTAAATTAGCCCATCCATGAGCTCTGGGTTCAACTGAGAGACCCTGCCTCAATAAATAAAGTGAAGAGTGATTTAGGAAGACACCTGATGACAACTTCAGGCCTCCTGTGCACATTCATGTGTACGCCTACTTTTATATACGTGTGCCCACACGTGAACACACGTGCACACATACACGCACACCACACACATACACAAATAGAAAAAATATGGGTTAGATTTCTATATCAAATGACTAGCTCATGGCTTTGGAGGGACATGGGAGTGAAAGTTCATCTTGGGGAAAAGAATCCAGGATGGAAGAAGTGATGGAGTTGAAGAGATAGACTAATGTAAACATAGTGTTAGCCTATATTGAAGGAAGTGACGTCAGCCGCAAACAGGACCAGCTGCCTAGTGACTTCTGCATGTTCTAGACTCAAAACCCAGGAACATAACTATGCAGTCGACTTGAGTTGCATTAAAAGCAGATATTTGCGAAGAAATGTCTGAACCCACTATACACCTGCTCATAATGAAACCAAGTTACTTGGTTATTTTTTTTAAAGCCTACACTGGCCTAGCTCAAACTGAATAGCCCAGGGCCAGGATGTGGCTAGAAACAATGACCCCCAACCCTGGTTACGTGTCTTAAGAAGGTTGTATTCAAATCAAACTGATCTTTTCCTTTTCTTTCAAAGCACATAGTCTATAAACGAGAGGTCAATTATTTTCTGCTTTCTTAGAAAATGTTCTGCATTATTGGAGAATTTGCTTTCAGCAGATGTGTTAGCTTGGCAAGGTTTGAGATTTAAATGTTAAATACTTAAAAATACATGTTTTACTTCTTTTGTTTGAAGATGAGGCTTTTAGGGAGGAACAGACACCACAATAAAAGCTAGCATCGTCAATAGAAAGGTATCTTCGTGAAGAGCTGATGCTTTTTTCTCAAGAAGCACTTGCATACCACATCGCTTAGCAACACTGAGATCAGCTCTGACACCCTATTCATCTTTAATATTCAGGTTTGGATTGAGTCTTTCCAGAGATGGGACAGATTGGAGTCTTTTAAACCAAGCAAGTGAAAGTCAACTTTGCAATTTTCATCTTAAGGTTGTCAGAAGTACCAGAGTTTTCACCTTATAACTTATTTTTGAATTGGAATTAAAAAATTTGTCCTGACTTAGGTCTTACTGCTTGTATTCCCATTTCACGGTTTTCTTTTTTTAAAGACCTTCGTGGGACTTTCCCTTTATTTGATACATTTCCTTTAAATTTCTTAGCATAGTACCCCAGACCATCATGAGTGAGGATGCTTCCTAAATCCTCTGGTTCAGTCAGATTAAACAGTCCTGTTCCTCCAGTGTGCTGTGCTCTTTGCTACAGTATTTCTCCAACATGAGTACATTGTTTTCTTTGGGGATGCTCTTGTCTCGTAAGTCTTGCTGATCTTTCTAGGTATGATCTTGCATTGCTTGAGGACACAGATGCTTTCTGAGAAATGTGTCCATAGGCAATTCTGGCATCCTGTGAACTTTACAACCTGAATGGCATAAGTTGGCCTGTCACCAATATGACTTTTAAATTAACTGCAATTAAGGGACCTGGCAAGAGGGAGATGTGCAATAGTACTGCCATTGTAACACAGCATGGTGTTTTGCCATAGACTTTTTTTTAGGTGTGTGTGTGTGTTGGGGGGGGGTGTGCACATCTGCGTGCAGGTACATGTACACATGGACACTTGACATCCTCCTCTGGTCTCCATGTATAGCACAAGACTGCCCTTTTGGGTTCATAGAGGACACTTGATTCCTTTAGGTTGAGTTGGGACCCTTCTCCTTGGCTCCTGTATGAGTCTGGACCACTGGGGCTTATAATTCTAGATTTCAGTTGTTTCCTTTTCCTACTCTAAAGTGGAGATTTCTTTAGGGAACAAGAATTCTGTTTTTTATGCTTAAATCCCTGTCCTGTCTATGTGATTCACGTATGTGAGTTTGTCAAGGTTCGTGATAAAGCTGAATCACCTCTCCTTGGTAATAGTGATTCTTAGATATTCCTGCATGATTTATCAGCATCTTCTGACTTGTTCTCTCTGTCAAGGACTTTTTGCTTACTACTATTTGGAGCCCGTAAGAGTGAAGCATTAAATCGGGGGTTATGATGGATGCTGGTGTGAAATAGAAAAGCTGGAGGTATGCAAAAATGAAAGCAAGATACTTTGAAGATGTAAAAGTGTAAGAGGCTAGGCTAGGCTTCTATAAACGTTTGCACAAAGGGAAAGAATGTTAAACAGTGTTTGCTTTGAGTCTGTATTTTTACAGCTGGTATAGAAAATCAGCTGTAGTCTAGTGGTATGCTCACACCGTCAGTTTATATAGCCTACACTCTGAAAATACAACTTGAGGCTTAGCTTCCCCACAGTAACTTCTCGGCTGGGTGTGGTGGTGCACATCTTTAATCCCAGCACTCCAAGCAAAGGCAGGTGGATCTTTGTGAGTTGAAAGTTGGCCTGGTCTATACAATGAGTTCCAGGTCATCCAGTGCTGCATGGTGAGACCCTATCTTTAAAAAAAAAGTAACCCTTGTCATGATAGAAGGCGACTTGTTAGTGAACCAGTGTGAATAGATTTCTGAGACTTTATTTTATCCATATTTTTTAAAACTCATGATTTTAAAAATACTTATTTAGAAATGTACATAAAATTTCATAAGAACAGTAGATAGAACAATATTACAAATGGCAACTTACTATATGTAGATAATGTATTTTCCATCTACCACCTCTATATTGTCTGTCTCAGAAATCAGGTGTGAAAATATTACTCCTTTCCCACCTTATTTTATTTGGAAAATACAAACTGAAAAAGAAAAAATGATCTTCAGCTTGAAAGTCAGGTATGATACTCTGTCATAAAAAGAAACTACTCCTGGCTGGGGATGTAGCTCTGTCAGTAGAAAGCTTGATTAGCGTTCATGAAGCTCTGGGCTTTATCCCAGCACTGTGTAAACGGGGTATAGTGGTGCATACTTGTGATCCCAACACTCAGGAGGAGGTGCAGGCAGGAGAATCAATGAAGTTCTCTAGCCAGTCCCACCCAATGGCTGTTACCCTTTTCCAGTGAGTCTACTCACTTCTAAAGGTGTTTTTAAAGTACTTTATTAAGAATCCATCATGCTATTATCTGCCCTCTCTTACGACAACTTTGAAGATTTCTTTTCATATTTATCTATTTGTCCTGTGTGTGTGTGTGTGTGTGTGTGTGTGTGTATGAGTGGTTTGAGACCGTGTCTTACTTTGTAGCATGGACTGGCCTGGAACTCACTATATAGCCCAGGCTGGCCTCAAACTTACAGCAATCCTTTTGCCTCAGCCTCCCATGTACTGGGATTATAGGCATGAGCTATGCCTGCCTTTGACTTTTAAAGTCTGGGTGGCTGGCTTTCTAAAGTCCGCGTTGGGTTTCTAAAGTCTTTCATGGTACCTGGTCCAGGAGGCTGTGGGTACAGTGCCTGCACCCATGGAGGGCAGTCTCTTCTTCCTGCAACTCAAATTCTTTCACCTATGTTTTTAAGTCCAGTTCATTCCTGTTGCTTTTTACAGCTATATCAAATTGCTATTTGAAAAACATCTTACAGGTTTCTGGGGCTGGAGAGATGGCTTAGCAGTTAAGAACACTGGTTGCTCTTGCAGAAGACCTGGGTTTGATTCCCAGCACTCACATGGCAGCTAACAACTATTCATCATAACTCCAGTTCAGGGGATCCTGTACCCTCCTGTCCTCCTCAGGCATTGTGTGACATGGGTGCACTTACAGACATGCAGGCACAACACTCATAAAATAAGATAAATAAAAATTAAAAGAAAAAAGAAAAACATCTTACACGTTTCAAGTTTGTATCACAGTCCTTATTCTAAGGACCGTCATAGTCCATCTGAAGGCATGCAGATAAATACTGGAGATGGATATTTGTAGTGATGTAGAATTTAAGTTATTTTGACCTTTTAAGGAGATTTTTCTATATTCTAAGATTTCATAATCTTTCTAGTTAAGTGGTAAACACTTTTCTAATATTTTTCTTTTTAAGATATCATAAATTTGAAGAGATGATATAGTTTATTTTAAATAATATTTTCTCTCCTTTTTACAGAAAACAAGCATCATTGTGGGTCCAAGGAGACATTTTTCAATCCAAACTGAAAAATAGGCCATCCAGAGAAGGAAGTATTAATAAAATTATTTCTAGCTTGGATGATATGTCTATTGGTGGAAACTTACCTAAATTGCAAAGCCTGGAGCGATTTGTAGAGGTGAGTTTCCCCAGGAGCGTCCTGTCTGCCTACGACTAGCTTTCTTCATTTGTTTCCCAACTGAGCACATACAACGCAGCCACATTTTTTCTTTTCTTTCTTTTACATTAATTATTAATTAATTAATTAATTAATTAATTGTGTGTGCCTGTGAGCATGCTTTAACACACATATGGAGGTCAGAGAACAACTTTTGGGAGTCAGTTCCCTTTTATCATGTGGGTTCCGGGGATCAAACTTAGGTTGTCAGGCTTCATGGAAGGCATCTTTCTCTGCTGAGCCATGTCAGCAGCCCAGTAGCCTCATCTTTTCTCTGAGCTCTGGGGGAGGACTAAATGTCTGGATGTGGAGTCATTGGCCTACAGTACAAAGCAGAGCAAAGACCTTACAAAGAAAGGAAGAGGAAGCCAGAATTTAGTGGGAACAGTTGTGAAGAAGGCTGTTTGGGTCTAGAGAGTATTTATAGAAAGATATATTTTTCCACCAGAAACAGATACCAAGAAGGAGAAGTTTGATGTTACAGTTGAAGGAGTAATTCTTGGTCCAAGTGGCACTTGGAAAGCCTGGTTTTGGTTTCTAAAGGGAGTGACGAGTGGAAGCGTAGTTGGGGACAGCTTGTGTTCCTGAGGCTCTCCCTAAACAAACCACAGGATACTGATTTAATCTTCATAACCCCCCCCCCCCCGTGAATTAGATCCTGTCTCTATTTCGCAGTAAGGAAATCATGTCTAGTGATGTTCTGAATTGGTTTTAAAGCATGACTCAATCCATGTCTGTCTGATTCCAAACTCTTATTTTTCTATTATTCCTTGCTACCTCTGAAGTAGCAGGAAGTGATTTACAAAGTATTAGGATCAAGAACACAAAAGTGCTAGAAGCAACTGTGCAATTTGTCCTAATTCTCCTGTAGGGATGAGAAATGAGGATTCTGAAAATGTTATGAGTTGCCTAAGGGCCCAGAATTATTGAATAGTGGGGTCACTGTGAGATCTTGCTATCCACTGCCTAGTTTAGCTTGCTTTTCTTTCCCCAAGAAAGGGTCTAGCCTGGAACTTAGGACAGACCACCTGCCTCAGCCTCCCAAATGCTCAGATTACAAGCATAAGCCATCATGCCTGCTTCTAATTTAACTCTTTCTGTCACAATGTGTCTGAGGTAAAGCTAAGAACTTGGATTATATTTTTTAAAATTATTTATTTAATAACCACATAATTAGAAGAAGCATTTCATTAAAACAACATTAACATGTTCATTAACAATTTCCACAGCTAAGATGCATCTCTTTCAAAACTGGCTGTAAATTTTTAGGTTTACAGTTGAATTAATACAGTTATACAATATTGTACTCAGAATAAACCCTATAAGACCTAAAATTAAATGAGGTTTTAAACTTTAAAAAAGATCTCCATTTCATTATTAAAATACACAGTTCCATAAAGAAAAATTCATTTTTAATGCAATTGACACTAAGATGTTTGTACATGCCTTTCTAATCTCTATATATCTGATTATTACTAGTCACAGTTGGTTACCTTCTGAGCTCCTTGGCATCTGAGCATGGGTATAAAGTCATCAGGTAGATTTCAATGGTAATGTTTTTCACACCTACTAATTATTAAGGAGCAAATTTTTATGCTTTGAAGAATTATTTTTTATTAAAAAATTTTTTAGAAGAAGCATTTCATTACAGCTTTAACATAATAACAGTTTCCAGAGCAAAGATACATCTCTTTCAAAAGTGGCTATAAATTTTTTAGGTTCATTGTCGAATTAATAACAGTTATACAATATTGAACTCAGTATAAGCCCTGTAAGACATAAAATTGAATGAGCTTTTAACTTTTAAAAGAGATCTCCATTTCATTTAAAAATATACTGTTTCTTACAGAAAGACTCATTGCTTTTGCTACTAACACCGAGATGTTGGCACATGTATCTCTCATATGTATGTATCTGACTATTACTAGTCATAATTGGTTGCACTCGGATCCTTGGCGCCTGTGTATGTCTATAAAGTCATCAGGTAGATTTCAATGGTAATGTTTATCACCTCTACTAATTAACATGATGTAAATTTTTATGCTTCTTCCTCAAATATAATACATTTTTAATAATTTGTTAATCTTTTTTTGTGTGTGTGTGTATAGCACACAGAACATTCCAAACCATCTTATTCAACTATACACCCACTTCCCAGATGGCACCTTCCCATAGCCTCCCTTCCCCCACTAGAGCCCTTATACTCTGTTATCCCTGCTACTGTCCTCTGTGTGGTCAGCACCCCCAGCCCTTCCCCACTTCTTGTCCATCTGGTGGATCTAGTCAGCCTATCTAGAGGTCTTTGTTTTAGGAAGGTCAGCTGTTCCTCATCTAGCAGCAACCAGTTGTCAACATTCCTTTAGATAAGATTGGGGTCTGCTATTCATTTTCCCAGTTCTATGCTGGGTTACTATCTGGGAGTCCCTTGGGCCACCCTGGGCAACAACTCAAAAGAGTTGCTGGCATTGTTGCTTGTTATGTAGCCTGTAGCTATGCATATGGAATCTTAAGAAATTATATTGGCCCCTTTAATCTTTGGTTATACTTTCCTTTTGGGTGTTTAAGGCCATACAGTTGGCCCAGATAAACCAATTTAATTTTTACTCTTAAGGTCGTTTGAGGATCTGTTCCTCAGGGGTCACATGGGCTTGGGAGGAGCCCCTGGATCCTTTCTTTTACCAGTTCTGCCTGTGTGAAGATAAGTCAAAGGTCCTGCTCGACCATGGCTGGCTTTCTTGGAAACATGGAGGAAATGATTCCTCTGTGTTGATGCTCCTCTTTGTAGACTGGACACTGGTTCAAGTCCATCTCGTGGGGTCTCCTCAGCTTCCTTGATCAAGAGGACAGGTGACCCACCACAGTTACAGGATATTTTGAGAGATGCTCTTAGTCCCTTGGAACTAGTTGACCTAGGAGGGCAAAGAGCAAAAACTGTCCTTTATGTCCTTCTGACAAAATTAGTATAGGCCTCAAAGTATGTCTGTTAAACATCCAAGAAGGTTAGTTCCACCAGTCTGGTACTTTTAATTACTGTGTGCCATGTAGATAAATCCTGGGCAAAGACCAATTGTTCTCAGATAAACCTTACCTAGACATTTATTTCTTGATCGGGTATGTATATTTTGTCAGTAGGTTGTTGGACTAATATGGTTTCCTCTGGTTTTTTAAAACTAGCTAGGCATTATTTATCTCTCTCATTGTCTAACCCCTCCATCATGGTTTTCCCACTTAACGTGCCCCCATTTTCCCCTTCTCTCCCTTAATAATACCCTTCTCCTATGGTCCTACCTCTCGAGCTCCTTCTTTCCCTTTATCCCCTAGGTTCCTTGTATGCCCTTCCCTCCCCCTCCCTTAAACTAACCCAATTTTTATCCATATCTCCCTTATTAAGGCCTGTTTCCTACTGTTCTTCTCTTTCAGGTTCTTTCTTTTCCTTTACCTCCCTGGTTCCTTTCCATTATCCTGGGTCCTGTAGTTATGTCTGGATACATACTCACTTATCAGGATTTGGTTCTAGGATCCACATATGAGGGAGAACATATGTCAGTTTTTTTTTCTGAGTCTGTGTTACTTCACTTAGTATAACAGTTTCTAGTTCCATCCATTTACCTGCAAATTTCATGATTTCATCTTTCTTTACTGCTGAGTAAAACTCCATTGTATAAATGAACCACATTTTCATTATCCACCCATCAATTGAGGGACACTTAGGTTGCTTCCATCTCTTAGCTATTGTGAAAAGAGCAGCAACAAACATGGATGTACATGTCTCTGCAATAGGATGAGTTCTTTGGGTATATGCCAAGGAGTGGTATAACTGGGTCAAATGGTAGGTTCATTGTAGTCTTTTAAGAGTTCTCCACGCTGCTTTCCACAGGGCTTGAAGAAGTTTGCAGCCCCACCAGCAGTGGATGAGTGTTCCCCTTTCCCCATATCGTCTCCAACATTTGCTATCATTTGTTCTCTTGATCTTAGCCAGTCTGACTGGGGTAAGATGAAATCTTAAAGTGTTTTTAATTTGCATTTCCCTAATTATTAGTGATGTTGAACATCTTTTAAGATTCTTCTTAGCCATCTTTACTTCTTCTTTTGAGAATTCACTGTTCAGCTCCTTAGCCCATCTTTTCCTGTCTTGATTCTCTGTTTTTTGAGTTCGTTATATATTCTGGATGTTAAACCTCTGTCAGATGTATTGCTGGTGAAGATTTTCTCCCAGTCTGTGGGTTTTCTATACGCTTCCCTGGTTGCCGCCTTTGATGTACAGAAGCTTTTTAGTTTAATGAGGTCCCATTTGTTGATTCTTGACCTTGTTTCCTAAGCAATTGATATCCAGTTTAGAAAATCCTTTCCTACACCTATATCTTGTAAGTTTTTTGCCAATGTTTTCTTTTAAGAGTTTCAGAGTTTCAGGCTTTACATTGAGGTCTTTGATCCATTTGGAATTGACTTTTGTGCAAGGAGAAAGGGGTTTAGTTTCATTCTTCTACAGGTGGAGATCCAGTTTTGCCAGCACCATTTGCTGAACATGCTGTCTTTCCTCCAGTGGATATTCTTGGCCCCTTTATCAGATATCAGGTGGCTGAAATTGCATGTATTCGTATTGGGTCTTCAGTTTTGTTCCATTGATCTATGGGTCTATTTTTGTGCCAGCACCATGTTGTTTTTATGACTATAGCTCTGTAATACAGCTTAAAATCTGGTATAGTAATCACCCCAGCATTGCTCTTAGCTCTCAGGGTTGTTTTGGCTATCCAGGGTCTCTTGTGCTTCCATATGAATCTTAGGATAGATTTTTCCAGTTCTGTGAAAAATATCATGGGGATTTTGATTGGCATTGCATTGAATCTATATATGACTCTTGGTAGGATGGTCATTTTCACAATAGCATGGGAGGTCCTTCCATCTTCTGATGTCTTCCTCAATCTCTTTTTTTAAAGATTTAAAATTGTCATTGCAGAACT